GACCCTGTAAGTTAGTTGTTGGGACAATACCAGACGTATTCTACTATTATATCCATAGCTTGTCTTGCTGAAGACTCGTTTTCTGACATGCTACTAAATCTTTTCTTCCGGGCTTTGACTTCTCTGTACCGTACTCTTTATCCTGGTTTAGCTGTGCTACACTTTACTGCAGCTTCTATGGTGTGCAGGGTTCATGATTTCTAGTTAGAACCGTTCTGAAACCCTCCTTGCTTGTAAATTTTGTAGGTCTGAGAGAGTAGGAAGCAAGCTGGATGATAATGGTGCAGCTGAAAAGTCCCAGTTCTCAGGGCCAGGGGTTTGGCTAGCTCAGAATGAACGGCTCCTTAAAAATGCCACTGTAAATGGCTTCAGAGAGTCCAAGGTGATTTGCTCCCTATATATGATTTCCTAACGTAAATTGGGTCAAGATCTAGGCTACCATTTTACAATGACACCATACTGTTGCTGGTGAGAAATACGATTACTTAGATTATCACAAAATATCACTGCTTTTTTATTAAACTTATTTCACTCAGCCTGATAATGATTATTCCACAGCACAATAAAGGTTTTCAGATTTTTAATTTTCAGCATTGTATTAATATCTCATTCATCTTTAGTCTGTCTTCATTTCTATAACCTCATTATGGTATATAACCATTATTAAGGTATGTGAAACTGAGAAAACCACATGGAAATGCTTTTAGGATTTTGCCCAAACATATTTTTATCTTATTAAAAAAAATCAAAAGAGAAATGTATTTCCTTTTAGTACTTTACCATGTGACTTTTAAAACTTATGTTAATTTTTGAGTTCATACATTTATAAGGTTAAAAGTGTTTTATATAAAATTTATCCTTCCTACTTGTAGATTTTAGAGTTTGGCAGTCTTACAGGCATGAGATAGATTACAACAGAAGGACCACATTTTCTGTCTGTTTGTTTGTCTGTCTGTCTTTATTTGAAAGCAAAGACAGTGAATGCAAGAATTTTGTGTACATTTTAGTGGTATTTGCTAAGAAACAACATTCATATTCCATGACTGTGAATACAGGAATAAATCAGAGCTTTGTCTGAAGTACTTGCTGGATGCTGAAGCTTTCCATTAACCAGGACTTCTTAATGACATGCTCTTCTGGGCATTAAGTAATCAAGGGCATCTCTTGGCTCCATTCTACTGGGTCCTGACGTGCTGCTCCCAAGAATGCCCTGGCTGCCATTTTCACCTGGGGTGGTGCCAGGGGAAGGACCAGCTGCTCATATTTAGACGTTTGCAGCGATGACTCCCATATCCAATTCTGGCTCCTCTCCTGTATTTCCTGTACCCTCAGGGAGAAGGATGCAGAGTGTGTGTGCCCTGCTCCAGCCTTCCATCAGACACCACCCTTGGCTCATACCCGTCTTGGTGCCATCTGCTTGGAGACATGGAGGATAATAAAAGAGGCTCCCATTTATTGAGTGCCTGCTGTGAACTAAGTATTTACATCTCTGATTTCAAATTTTCACATGATCCTAGAAGGATGTTATCAGACCCATTTTTATAGTTCTGGAAAGGAACACTTGGAAAAGTTAAAAAAGCTCTCCCAAGTAATACGATGCCATAATTATATTTGGGCCTTTCCTCTTTTCCATCAGTGGGAGAGACTCTCTCTCTCTCTCTCTTCTTGGAGAAATCTGTGAGCACTGTGTCTGATTGACTCTTCACTATCCATAGCAGCCTTCCCTAGAGAGCTGATCTCCTGCTCTCATCCCAGGCTGCTGTCCTGAATTTCTCACAGTGATTTGGCCCTCCCATTGAATTTTCTGGCTTCTTGTCTGTTAGACTCAACTGATATCTTAAAATATCCGATTAGTACTTGATAATGTTGGCAGGTTGGAATCATATTTTTTTAAAGGAAAGTATATTTTAACTCAACTTTCTGATTTCATTCATTGGGAGAACATATTTTTTTCCCATGTTAATCGGAAAAACTGGACAAAGAAATGACCACCTGTTAGCTGCTAATGATGTTCACATGCCTTTTTTAAAAAAGTAATTCTGGCTTTTTCTGCTTACAATCTTGGCGACAAAACTCATGGGAACATCAAGGGCACAGGAAGCCAAAGGCAGCAAACAGACAATAGAGTTTGTGCTTGGACTACTAATAAGGGTGAAATCACTGTCAATGTGACTCCACATAATTATCGAATCTCCAGACAGTGACTTAAAACAGAATGTATGGTTTAAGAAACCTAAACTTTGGGTATTCAGATATAAGACCTAGTTCAGAAGGGTTTTACAACATGAGAGCTCCTACTCAAAGTTTTAAAAAAGCCCAAAAAGAAAATATGCTTCATTGATTTCAAACCTGTGGTCTAATTTAGGATGTTGCAAATAGGTCAATCACTATGCCTTTCAAGTGAAAATAAGTACAAGCAGAAGATCAGATATAACTTAGTTTAAACAGTGATTTGCTGCATCCTACCTTGAAAGAAATCTTAAAATTCTACACAGCCAAGAAGACACGGGCAAGAAATAGTTTTGAAAATTATGATTAGCATTAAAGGCTAAATGGACTTTTTATTTTAGTGGTAAAATTCATCTAAGAGTGCTGGCATCTTGGTTTAAGTTAGCTGACTTGTATAGATTTCACTTTTACTTTTTAGCAAAGGTCCACCCAAGGGCAAGTTTGAAAGAGATTAACGTTTATTTGTTCACTTAACCACAGAGTGCAGTTAAAAGAGCAGGTTGTAAAAACAGATTGCCTGAGTTTGACATGTGTCTTTTAACTGTCTTACACACATTACCATCATTCTAGGTGTCTTGACTAACACATTTAAAATAAAGGGTTAAAAAAGGTAACTGTTTCTTAGGATTGATAAGTTGGTATAAAATAAGCACTTGGCACAGCATTAGGGGTCCAGTACATATAAAATTTGTGTGAGAGGTCCTTCTATCTATGTGTTGAACTGCTTTGAGCCTGTGGCAAGGACAGAACAGAACTAGGTGGAGTGGGGGGAGCTAGGCTATATGCTGGGAGAAAGATGGTGGAGTCAGACAGACACCATGGAGCCGCTGCCAGAGTCAGACATGCCGAATCTTTGCTGGTAAGCCACTGCCACGTGGTGACACACGGATTAATGGAGATGGGTTAAATTAATATGTAAGAGTTAGCCAATAAGAAGCTAGAGCTAATGGGCCAGGCAGTGATTTAAATAATCTGGTTTCTGTGTGATTATTTCCAGTATAAGCTAACCAGGCAGCTGGGACAAACAAGCGGCTCATTGCAACACAAAATAGTGTCTTATATTAGTGCTGTTTTAATTTAAAAGTCATTGTACAATTAAAGAGATTTTGATTTGAATAAATACCTGCCTTCTCCCCATCTTTTGACAAGAATGACTTTGCTCTCATACTGAATAAATGATTGTCTTTCCCAATGGGAGGGAAAATACAAAGAACTGAAGATTCTTTCCATAGAATTTCTTTTCTAAGAATCATTCTAAAACTTTTAATATAATTACCATTTAATACAGAATATGTCAGCCTCAGTTTCTCAAACATGCTGCTGCAAATGTATTCCCCCACTGCTTCAGGGTTTAGAGACAAGTCAAGTTCTCTTCCACAGCTGTAATTAAATCTCAGATTTCAGATCTGCTAATCACTGCATCACAGACCTTTGTGTGTTTACTACAAAATACTTACGTAATTAACATTAAACATATACTTACAACTGAATTCTAATGCTGTAATCTTACCTTATACTTTATCCCATGGGAAATGAAGGGGGGGGAAACTCAAGAATTAAAGGAAAACATTATGTAAATGAAATTAACTCTAAATAAAATCTTTTAAAAGACATTCCTGAGTTTCTCTACCCATTCCCTGTGTACTCTGTAGGCATAGGCAGTGAGAACCTTCTTCAACTGCCGCATCACACAAATGCCTAGCTCAATCAGTCTTGGGTAGCTGTAGAAAACTATGGTATAAGCCTTCAACAGTGCGTTCCTTTCAAAAAGGAATCTCTACTCAACTTCTCCTGTAACTTCGAAAACCGTGGATCCTAATCAGCTCTGAAAGACATGTTGCCACACATATACATACTTTCCTAATGATATATATATATATATATATGCAAATATAATCATCTACCACACATTTTTGTTTGCACTACGTGTATTGGAAGTTCAGCTTACTGACTTGTTTTTAAATTTCAAAAGCTAGAATCTAACTACATACACCTTCAGACAGAGAAAAATGGCTAACAGTAGCTAGATGGAAGGTTCATGGAAGATTCTATAGTTTTTAAGACTGGGAAACTGGTTTCTCTGATATGAAACATATCTTCATGTGTTTTCAGAAGTCTAGGACTCAAGTTTACTCAGTGAGATACATGTAACAGGTTTTAATAATCTCCTTTTGTTGAGAAAGAAGCAGAATGCCTTAACAAAATTTTGCAGACCATCATGTAAATGGAATAAGTTGCTCTCACTTCAGATTCAATTGTTTTGGAAGTAGAACTTCCAAATATGTGTAACTCCAATAATCATTCGGCTGTCGCATTTCCTGTCAACTCTGGGACACACATTTTACATCTTCCTGGTGTTCTGGAAGTGTGGATTGCTGCATAAGCTGTTGGCTTAGTTGGGCCAACTGTGGTGGTCACTTGTGTCTTTTAATGTATGAAAATCAAATGATCAGCATGCCAGATGCTTGACATTTCCCACTCACAAAATCAATCACCGATCTGAACTCCATGGCTATTACTCAGAGATTCAGAGGTTTGCTGTAAGCAGAGACCATGACCTTGGAACAATTATTTTCTCAAAAGACATTACCAACAACGATGTGAGTAGAATGCCCAGACTGCCCTCGAGCGCATGAATCCCTAGGTAGGAAATGGTTGCGAACCTTGCAAAGTAGTCTGGCTTTGGCTTAAATCTCATTTTAATGCATTTATATTTCATAAGCACTGCATTTAGACAGAGGTAAAACGAGCAAGTCAAAGGAAACACTCACTGAAAGACTTCCTGTTCTCTGGTTTCTGTTCTTTTCTATCACCGTGGCAATGACTCAGCAGTTCAGTACTTGAGGATCTCTGGAGATTGAACAACTCCAGGGACTGGCAACTCGGATTCTTCGGCTGGAAATAACAAGCAATACCTTGAATACTTTTACTAGGAAGAAAGCATTCACTAAACTGTTTCGTGTTTTGTCTTGATGCTACATGTAACCAGACTTTGGAATACGTTAATTATTTTGAGGATTTGGCCTCTATCGAAGCACAATGCTTACACTGATTCATACATCAAAACAGTGTTCACTAAATGCTATGAATTATTCAAAGAACTCCACATACAACAGCGCAGTTACTCCTCTCAGGCATTCAGCAGGGCCGCCACATACTGAGGAAACAGACAGAAGGAAAAGAACCCACCTTTCCCAAACCATGCAGCTACTAAATAGAATCTGCCTTCAAATTCAGAAATTTTGGACTTATACTTCATATTTAAAGTTAATAATTTGTGTGTTTGCTCTCTTTTTTATGGAGACTCTGTTGATGGTATGGAAAGCCTATTTTAATTTGTAGAGTTTGATCTTAAAAGGATATAATGAAAGATTTTGAATATATTCTATTTTATAAGCTATTAAAAGCTCTCAAAAACATTTTTCAAATAATTCTTATAAATAATAGTGAGTTAAAATTAAGTTAGTAAGAAACAGTTTTAAATAATTGAGGCCTTTAAAACGTATACTCTGAGTGTGTTATTTAAGTCAACTTCCTGAAGTTCTAGGTGTCTAACGTTCTTGAGAAGAACATTCTAGCTTAGCTGGGAAATAATAAAAACAAGCATAAATGATTTTTATCTGTGGTATTATAACAGTAAGTACAGTCATAAATGCAGAGATATTTACTTTCCAGAATATATATTAGAGACTACATAAATGGAAAATGGAAAAATGCAATACTTTTGAAGCGCTTGTGTGCCTTTTACAACCTCCAATAAATGAATGCCCATGTTATTCTAGAAAAAGAACGCAGCAGTTTTGAAGGAGAGAAATTAAATGGCATTTACCTCACAAATCCTGTCTGCAAGCAAGGTTCCCAGTGTTCTTTATTAAGCTTAAAATAGCTAATATCTCTCAGCTGTAGGATCCATTTAGACGTGTGAACGTTATACGCCTGAACAGTAAGATTTAAATGACTACATTTTAATTAATAAATGTAACAGCCCAAACAAATACATACCAATCTGTCAATTGCATTTTTGATAGCATGGAACCAATCCAATATGATGAAGTCAATATCTGACTGGAGAAGGAACTCATTTCCTGATGCTGTTGTGATCTAAGAGGGAAAATTGACAGGAAAGAGCACCATGTTAGATAGATTTCTTACGTGAAAAAGCCCTTTTCAAGAACAAGTTTATCACATGGACAAGTTTCTTTGTATTCCCGTAATTGTCTTTCTGGGAACTAAGGCTACTACTGTCATTTTGAACTTCTCTCTGTAAACTGTTTTTTTTTTTTCATGTCATAACAAATACATGATTGTTTTAGTAATCGAAAGATTAACTCAGAGCAGGACTAAAGCTGAGTTCCTTTCTCTCCAGCTTCAGGAGAAAGAAGACAAGAAGTTGAGGGGTGCAGACAGTACATGCATGAGATAAAAGCCAAGAGAAGTGCACAGACTGTGTCAGAATTCACTCTGGGCTGTCGGCTCTTTCCTGTCTTTTTCAAATCTAATAGTATCTCTATATTTGATTTTCTTTTACGGAGGGCTCTAAAACAGATTGTTTACCAAAGAGACTAATGCTGACTTTTGCAAAAGGTCATTCAGATGAATAACTTCGGGCCGTTCCTGTCTTCCTACAGTAAAGCTCTATAGGAAAGTCATAAAGGACCAATTTCCTCGCAAAGAGAGTGTATTAGAATACGGTTTCATTTGCATATTAGAACCTTTGGTAGAAAGTATAAATCAACATCAGTTTCCAGCCTCTCAGTGCTGTTAAGTGGTTGGCAATGCTTAGCATAGCCATCATTTTTCATTGCAGTGGATCCTTCCCTTCAGACACGAGAGATGATAGGACCCTCTACAAACACAGCAAGCAATACTTTTGATTCCACCCATAAAGGACTTGTTAGGGGAAAAATTTGATTAGCGTGGAAGTGGACATGTTTTTCCTATGAGGCTGCCAATCTGAACTGTGAAGGTTTTCTCTTTGTATTATTGACCTTTTTTTTTGGAGCAAGAGGACAGACATTTCTCAACAACTGCCACACATCAAGCCAGGCGACAGAACTTTAGAGGATTGGCATTTCAAGAAAATCTGTCAGGAGCCAGTTACCTCTGCTCAGCCCTGCAAGCTCCAATCGGTAAATGGTGAAAGGTGGCACAGGTTCAGGAAAACCACAAATCACACAGGCTGGCTTGGAATTCTATCAGTACAGTGACAAGGTTAACCCCAAATGGCTTATTCTGCAAGTTCCAATAATTTTGTGGCATCATTTAAAAACAATTACCTTGGTATTATTTTTAAAGCATAAATAGAATATTGTTTGCAGACAAGTATGGTTATTGCTTGAGTGTTTAATACAATAAAAGATCTCTCATTGGCTATTTGGTCTAAACGTTCCGATGTTAATGCATCAGCCACAATGACAAATAACCAGTAGTATAATAAATATTAATATATATCAATCTACCTATTGATACATCTAAGTAACATTTAAGTATCATGTATGCATGAATCTACATATTTAAGTATCCTTTGCTGTCATTTAAGGATGCTGGGAATTGTAATCAGAACTGTGTGTGCAGAGAGGCACTATCTTCATGATAAGATATACTCAGAACATTGGTCAGTATAATTCCTATAGGTACACTGACTCATCTAAGTCAATATTGTAACACAAAGTATACATAGGATAAATATGTCTTAGTATGTTACAAATGTTTCATGCACTAAATGGCCTGCATTCTCTAGATTTACTATCAATGCTCTATGAACTCACATAAATTGTCATTCTCCACCCACCCCTCCTCCCGGAAATATTTGATGTTGATCTTGGGATTTTAAAGAAATCTTTGTCTTCACATATGTGAACAAGTGTACTTCTTATTTTATTTTCAGAAGCCTGTAAAGAGATGTAATGCTAGTGAGGACTGCCAAGAACACATTCTTAGGTGCCACGAGTTCCAGTGTCAATTCTGGTTCGTTCTTCAGTAAAGAGAGAAGGGGCCAAATTATAAAAAGGGAAAAATTGGAAAGTAACAGGATTAATTACACACCCTAAAATCTGACAGATCACTGGATCCAATTACTCTTTTTCTCTCCCTCTTTTGAAGTAAAATGGCATGTAAAATTTGGGGCAGTTCAAAATAGCCATGTGTCCATGAAAAGAAAGCCAGGATGCTATTTTTCTAATTATCTGATTGCCACTGCATGTTCCTTACTTACATCGAATTATAAATATTTACTTTCTAAAGTACTGCCTCAGAAACTAAAATCTAAAAACATAAGGCCACTTGTAAGTAACACAAGAAATCTAGTATTGTCCTCAGCTTTTCCTTTGATTTTAAATTGAGATATTTTGATTATTAATATTTTATACATGTCACAATTTGTTGTTATACATAAAGAAAAATGAGTTTCCCAAACACAGAGTACAGCATAATATAATACTTTATGCCGGTATAAATACATTATTAAGATTATAAAAGGAACAACATTTAAAAGGAAAAGAAAAAGTATAATTAGATTTACTGTATCTTGAAGGTGAACAAAAAGAGTTGTCCGTTTTTTTTGCCCTAGTAAATTCAAACTGTGGCAAGTAAATTTCAGCACTGCCTTTGCCGTTTTGATGCTAGATGCACAGTTCAGAATGGGCCTTTTTCCTGCTCACATAAGCCAAACACAAGCTGTATTTTTAAAAGTTTCTTTGTCTAAATATATTACGGCATTAATCATACACAATCAGTGACTTATAAATTCACTCTGGGAAGCTAGAGTAAGGAGATCTGTGAACGCAGCTCCTCTGAATCAGCCAATCAGAGGCATCCTGCTCACATCTTCCTCTCGGTCTTCCCGGTAATCTTTGGAGTTCCTAGGCAGTGTGGAGAAGACTGCTACTGCTCTCTACAGTTTAAATGCATCCACTTCTTAATTGCAGCCAGTAATTGACTTTATTCTCTTCCACTCCAGACTCCCACAGAAAGGGACTTTTTGAATCTCTGCCGTGTAAAGTCCACTTAATTCAGCTTCCCAATCTCTCTTTCTATATTTTTGTAGTCTTACCCCTTCAGAATTTTTGATAAGTGGGTTGTGAGTCATGTTTTTGTGCTTTGAACGATTGAATCTTCAGATTTTCAACACAGGTACCAGTAGCAGTGGAGGACATGGGTGGAGGATGTTACCTTGCCCTAAACCTTTTGATTGAACAGCACATGATGCCAGTTTACAGCAATGTACAATAACGGGCAGAAGGGATCAATAGTGAAGCCACGATAATGGGACCCTTCTTTGTGTGCTGTTTGGGAGCTGCAGGTGTAAGGTAGTGAAAACATACCTTACAGAAAACAAAATAGGTTTTTGTGGAAGCTGCTGGCTTCCCTTCTGTTGAGGATCCCACCTAGTCACAATACTAATGAAATCCTGCATCTCTACTAGTCTACATTTTTTTTTTTTTGGTGGGGGGTATATAGAAAATTAGCAAAGCAGCTTTGTCAAAAGGCACTAGCATCGTTGATGAAAAAATATGCATAAATATTTGGAGAAATTTACCTTGTTGTTTCTTAAGGGATGGACATATGACAGTTATTGGTTACAACTTTAAGCCATGAGTGAATCATCAATGGTGGGGCCTGAAAGACGCCAGCACTGCCCTGGGAATGCCTTAGACAGTTTTACTCAAAGTGTGGACCCATCTCGATTCTTGTTAGTGACAAATGTACGTCCAAAAATTCTATAAGCAGTCACGGACCAACAGGAAGAGTAGGCACATTCCTGGGGCTTTTCTGAAATTCATTGACAATAGTCTCCCATGGGCATGGGACTTTGGTCTGTATCTTTGGTGCCTCCATAGACAGAGTTGAGTTTGTAAATTCCATGCTCCACTATAGAACTTGTGGTGGGACAATTTGTTTTGTTTTGTTGGGCTTTTCTTTTGGCGGGGGGCGGGGGACAGGGTTTCTCTGTTTAACAGCCCTAACTGTCCTGGAATTTGCTTTGTAGACCAGGCCAGCTTTGAACTCACAATGATACATCTGCCTCTGCCTCCTGAGTGCTGGGATTAGAGGCATGCACCACCATCGCCCAATGGGACAATTTTTTTTAAGTGAATTGAATATTGGTATTTTAACTGAGAACAACTTCGGAGAATAGTGTTTTATTTTTAAAAGATAGCATTTGTATTTTTCACTGGTGTCCTTTCTGACTTTTTAAGTATCATTGTCATCAACAAGGCAGTATTAGGTTTTAATTTGGATGAAAAATAACTATGTATAATGACATTTATAGTAATAAAAATTTCTTTGGTTTTATTAACATAGAAGTGAACTATTTTTAAATCTTCTCTTTTTCTGATTATTGGAGATAGATAAAATGTGGAGAATGGGAAAGTTAAAAATAATAAAGAATAAAACTGCTCATGGCTGCACAAATTAAACACAGCACACATTTGAATTGAGCCATTATCTGTCTTTTGTAAATAATAGCTAAATAAGTATGATAATTTTCAATGGACACATTGATGCATGAGCAAACCATATTTAATAGGTAAATATTACTGACTTTTTTTTTTTTTCTGTTGAACTCAAACATGCCTGGGATGGCAAGTAAAGATACAGGGATGCCATTGTACTCCTTTCTTTCTCTCTGAAGTACCACCTTTTCAGTTGCATAATAAATGCTACAGATAATTCCATGTCTATGGTAAGTTTATTTGAGAAGACATGTTTATAATTGATTACATATCTAATTATCAACAAAGACTGATGGATTACCCATTAAATACAGGGAGCAGTGTTTGAAGTTAGTGATCTATGACCCTCCCCGTTAAGAACTGTAAATCTGTTTGGCTACATAGGTCATCTACATATTAAGATAAATAACCATAGCAAATGACTTATCCTAGGTCCCGATGTGAGTGGCACAGACCATACTCATGACAAGGAGGGCGTAGCTGCTGTGGCTGCACTTGCATCTTGGAATTGTGTATAACTGTTGGCCGTGATAGGTTATTTTCAAAGGTTGATAGTATCAGAACTTTGGGGTATTGAGGACATAAAAACAACTACTACTTTATATGCAAAGTGAAGTTAGCTTTAGAGATCTCAAGGCACTTAAA